TTCAAAAAGCTGCAATCTGGGACTTTCTTTCCAGACCACAAAATGAACATTGACTATGTTGAGATGCTGATAGTTATCCTGGGGGACCCAGCCTACCCCTTGCTCCCATGGCTCATGAAGCCATACACTGGCTGTCTGGACAGCAGTAAGGTATGGTTCAAGTATAGGCTCAGCAAGTGCAGAATGGTAGTTGAATGTGCCTTTGGTTGTTTAAAGGGGTGCTGGAGAAGTTTACTAACAAGGTTGGACCTTAGTGAAAAGAACATCCTCGTGGTTATAGCTGCCTGCTGTGTGTTCCATAATATCTGTGGGGGAATAAAGGGGGGGGAATTTTCCACAGGGGTGGGCAGTTGAGCCAGATTGCATGGCAGCCATTTTTGAGCAGCCAGACACATGGGCGATCAGAAGAGCACAGCAAGGGGTGCTGCATATTCGCGAGGCTTTGAAAAGCCGTTTCAATAATGAGTCACAGTAATGTGAGCTGCTTGTCTGCATTGTGCTTTTCCAAACCTTGACCTGGCTTGTATCACTGTCCCTGTAAAGCCAACCCCCTGCCCAAGCCCACTGCTTCTACTCAATAAAGAACATTTATTTCTCGAATCCATTTACTATATTTAACAAAGTAAAGAGGGAGAACAGAAAAAAAGGGGTTGTAAAGTTGGAACAGGAGAAACATTTTCATCTGTGTAACATAACATCACATTCCAGACCATCAAAGGTCTGTGAATGGGCGCCTTCTGTTCCTTGTACCTTCCCCCTGAGTTAAGTGAAAAAGATAATGGACTTTTCAACCATGCTTCAGGGAACACTTGGGGGAGGGTGATTCTGCACCAGGCGATGCTGGCTGGCTGTCCACCAGGGTTTGCAAAGGGACTCTACCCTCCTTCTGTTCCTGCAGTTCAACCAGATGCCTCAACATGTCTGCTTGGTCCCTCATAAACAGAGCATCTCATCCTGTGCCACATGCTCTTGCTCATTGGAAGCTTTCCTGCTCTCCATGTCCATGTCTAACTTCTTGGACAGTGAAATCCTCCATGCTCTCAGCTCTGTGTCAGCTGTCCCAGAGGCATTCATTATCATGGTGAACATGTACTCCCGCATTCTCTATCACCTTCTTCTAATCAGCAAAAGTCTGCTTTCAGATGTTGATGATATGCCGAAGGACACATTTCCAGCTGTCAGTCACGGGAAAAAATAAAGAAGCCATTGTACATAAATAAAATAAAAAACCCTTATTACACTAGGTGTAAGCCATAACATAATCAGAATCTGTAACCATTCACTGTGCCGTTTTGCTGTTCCAGCCATGGTGAGTAGCCCCAACCTCGGTCATGGTTGACCAGACTTTTAATGAAGTTTATGGCAGGCTCATGTTAGGAGCAGAGGTAGCTAGTCAAACAATGGCCCTTCTCCATAGCACCACGAGAAGCTGTTTACAAATGGAGCATGGGGGGGAACGTTTTCACTCCCAAATTGCAGAATCTCTCATGAGGGGCCACAGTCCCTTATCAGCCACTTTAAACTACTTGCCAACCCATGCTGAGCACAGTAAAGGCACATTAGCAGCTGTGTGGTTTGGCGATCCGGAATGTCTGGGGGTGGGGTGGGTCTACATGCCCCCCCTTTTTTTTCCTTGTAAGAGCACTTTTAATGAGAACTTCCCCCGTTTGCCCTAGGCAACCCTATGTGATATCAGTCTCCTGAAGGTAACAGAGGCGGAAATGAAGGAGATGCCACAAGCATCTGGGTATAGACCTGGTTCTTATCCTGCTATGCTGTGTACTGCAATGCTGCCAGCAGAATTTATTCAGGAGTTGCGTGGGAAAGTGTCCTACCCTGGGGGAAGAAATAAGACTACCCTGCCCAGAAACCTTCTGCAAAGGATTGCGGAGTACCTCCATGAAAGTTTCCTAGAGCTATCCATGGAGGATTCCCGGGCTATCCAAGTTCACATAAACAGTCTTTTCTGGAGTGTCCTCTTGTAAGCAGAGAACCACAGTACCTCACTTTTTCTTCACAGTAAACATGCAATACCACCGAATGTATGTGCCCACTAAAGTTTAACTGGGACTTTGATTGTAACTGTATATTCACCAGACGTGCCTTCCCTGGCATCGTGGTCGGCCACCGTGATGTCCTGTGACCCACAGGGCTCCAGGGTAAAAATATTTCCTGGCTCTCGGGGAGAATGGATCCACCACTCACCTGTCTCCCATTCTCTTCCTCCTCCTCTTTCTCATACACCATATCGTCCTCCTTGTTGTCCTCAGACTCACACACTTGTGAGATGTCCACGTTGCTTGTGGGGGTGCTAGTAGAGAATTGTATGCAGCTTATTGTAGAACCGGCATGTGTGGGGTTCAGCACCAGAATGACTGTTTGCTTCCCTTGCCTTCTGGTACGCTTGGCGAAGTTCTTTTATTTTCACACGACACTTCTGTGTGTCCCTTGTGTAGCCCTTCTCCCCCATTCCACAAGCAATCTTTGCATAGGTGTCAGCGTTTCTTCTGCTGGATCGGAGCTCTGCCTGCACAAGCTCTTCTTCCCACACAGTGATAAGATCCACCAGCTCTTGTGCAGACCAAGCTGGAGCACATTTGGGGAATGTAATCTCCATGATCAGCTGTGCTCAAGCTGGCATGCTCTCAATGCTGATCAAACAGGAAATGGGAAATCAAAAATTCCCAGGGCTTTAGCAGGGGAAAGACTGTTTCCTGTGTACCTGGCTGCAGTGCAGCAGAGTTGAGAATGATCTCCAGAGCGGTCACAGATGAACATTATGGAACACCACCTGGAGGCCAATTAAGTCGAATTACATAACACTGCGTCTGCACTACCTCGCAGTCAATCCATGAAAATCAAATTTTCACTATGCCTCTCACAGAAGTGGATTACAGAAATCGACATTAGAAGCGACTTAGGTTGGCGCAAAGGACCCGTTAGTGTAGACACATAGATTAACAGGTCGACTTAAGGTGGCTTCTTTCGACCTAACTTTTTAGTGTAGACCAGGCCGCAGAAAAGAGCTTCATATCTTGTGTTGTAACTACATCTATATTGAAATGATAGCTACGCACTTAACAAATGCTATCTGCAGTTGTGAAGCATCTTTTTTTAATAACCCTTTTAATCTACTCTGATGTATGCTTGAGTGAGAGGTTTTAGTTTTCAAAAATGATTTCCTGATACTATGTTTTTGATGGAGTATCAGTGCACAGATTCACATTGAGTGCCCTAGATAAACAATGAGTCCTCAAGTGCAAACTGCACATAAGTGATCACATATTAGCATAATATAATGGATGGAAATGAAACTCTCAGGTTATTACATTCTCTTGCCAGCGACTATTATTGCCCACACAACAGTGATACCCACTGTAGAAAAGGGAAGACAAAGATGTAAGGACTAAAACAACCTCCCCCATCCTCCAAAAAACAAAAAATCTACCAGTCTTATGGAATTAACCCCATGGTGAAGACTGGAAAACAAAATAAAGCCTACAGGCTAGACTATGAGCTGGACCTCCTGAGTGGTGTGTCCCGAAGGCACAGCCTGGGGGGAGTGGATACAAAGGTGACTTTTTAAGTTATCTTTGTGCTGCCCGGTTTCTGCTTGTGCTGGGGAACAGTATGCTTCCTGATGTAATGAAGTCTCCCCACAGTTGCCTATGGGTTGCTCCTCAGTCTAGAATGGATAGGCATCAACTTTCTCTCTACCCGGGTGTGTGTATGTGCTCGACCCCCGCCCCAGGCCTGCCCCCACTACATCCCTTCCTCCAAGGAACCATTAAGTAACAGTCAACATATTTAGGTGACCCAAAATATTATCCCTAATTTTGCACCATACTTCTCAGAAGTCCATAATTTGAAAGGACGTGGTTTATCTCCCAAAATTAACTACATCCCACACAAATTGGGTGTTCTCTCACGTTAATTGTTGAAAATTATTTCCATCACAAATAAAGAAGTTAGGGCTCCCTCCTCCCCCCCCCCCACTAAAGGAATTGAATCCCACAATAGTTTGTTTCCTGCATTAATAATTTTAGCGTGGACCTCAAAGACTTGAAGTCTTTGTTGGCCATTGAATCCCACATTTGGGCCTCAGCAGGTTATCTTTTTTTCCAGTTTCCCCATGAATAATAACAAGGACAATAATACTTTATTTACTAAAAGCACAGTGGTATCGTCTTTAGGAGTACAGATGAGGGACACAAGCTGGAACTTGTGAGGGTGAGGAATAAAGTCTGCTGACAGCATATTTCCTACTTGTTAAAATCAAAAATAAATTGTCACATGGCAATTTCTTGCAATACACTGGACAAACCTTATTGGTGTTTTTATTTATTTGTTTGTTTGTTTGTTTAAATGAATTTTTTAAAAAGTGAGGGTGGAATCCTGGGGTTTTTAGCTTTTGCTATGTGTATTTTTAATAAAGATGGTACTTGTGGATTGAAAATTGGACAGTCACATTTTTATACAATGACGAAGAATAAATAAGAATGACTATTCTATACTTTTATTATTGAAAAAGCAATGCCTAGTATTTTCTATATACAGAATTAACTCCTGGGACAAAAATAATACTGGGGGTGATGGAGTATAAAGCCATAATGCTGCAAAGGACTCTATGCAGTAAGACCCCTGTGCCCACGTGAAGCCCCACTGAAGTTAATGCGGCTCCACACAGATGTAAGGCTTTGCCCTCATAGTCACTTGCAGAACAATGAAGCCTGGGTGACATACTGGCTGACCCATCTCTGCATAACTAATGTATTTCAGATGTCTATCTTTCTTAAATAAACTTTTATAAGAAAATTTAGAAATCTTTTAAACCATCAGGCAACTGTTTTGTTTCATTATGTTGTTGCTTTAAGGGCATGATAGTCTGTGTGTGTTTTTGTAGTGTTACAATCTTCAGATGAGTTAAATGATGTATTTAAAACAACAGAAAATAGCAGCAGCTGTCTTTCCAGTTGTAATGGACTAAGAAACTCTCCTACCTGTATTGTAATGTTTGGTGCAATAACATAAATCTTTCTCTTCTTTCAACAGAAACTGTGGCAGGGTGAGCCCTTCTGCTACCTGTACAGCTCCCTTTTCTTGCCATTCAAAAATGAGATCGTTCATTGTATATCCAACTAGAAAAACAAACAGAACAACAACCCATAAATCTACTGCAAAGTTTTTAAAATATGTGTGATGCACCAAATACCAGTGTCCTACACAAATTATATGAGATGAGAAAAATAGCAGGTTCCACTATATCAGTCAGCCAAAGGGGATCAGCACTCATCTCGGTCATGCAGATCTAGGCTGACAGTTATTTCTGTGGATCCTCCTAAAAACATATGGCCAAATAGATTGAGGGGGAGATTTTCAAAAGTGCCTAAGGAAGTTGGATGCCTAACTCCCTTGGGTGCTTTTGAAAACCTCCCTCTCTGTTTATTATGGAGAGTACAGGCCCATTGATTTAAATCTTGTGAAGTTGTAGTGTAGTTTTGAAATAGTGCCTTATACGCTCTTTTATTTTTTCTGGATCTAAGCGGCTCTGAAACAATTTAGGCCCCAATCAGGTGAAAATATACAGGTGCAGTCCAGCAGTTCTCTTTCCAGGACTAAGACATAGTTGGCTTGAAAAGATATTTTTTTCTTTGAAGCAGGTGCAAGACCAGAAGAAAAACTATTGTGATGAACTACCAAATCACTATCAGACTGTGATAATGTTCCTACATGCCTGCCTTCCTACTCCCACAGCTCTATGTTAAAAAACAAGCAAAAAAACACCGTGTATATCATCATTGTAGTTTTAGGAAGATTACTGTATAAGTCAGTCCAAGTAGCTGTTTACACAGAATCAGTGGTATAACAATCCATGTCATGGCCAGACAGTGGAAATATTAACCCAGGGCCAGATTCTGGCTGATTGGTCAGCAGGTGGCCAAGTTGAGAGAGAGCACAAGGAGCTACACACAAACCATGCCTAGTAGCTGCCTGGAATCCCATGGGGATTCCAGCTCTCTGTGCACTGCAGGTGTTAACTTTCTGAAGGTAAGTGGGGAGGTGCAAAGTATGTGTGGGGACCTGTGCCTTTCATTTCTCCCTCCCCTCCAGCCCCTTGTTTCAGAACTGGCTGGATATGAATCTATCAGCATGTGACACCCTCTGTGAGGGCAGTAGTTACTGCTCCAGCTAGAAGGAATACTGCTCATAGGCGCTGGCTTCCTTGCTTTCCCCTGGGTGCTCGACCTGGCCTTGCCCCCACTCGAACTTTTCCATGTGGCCCTGCCCCGCCCCCATTCCAATCCCTTCCCCAATGTCTACGCCCCCTCCCTGCCCATATTCCAATCTCTTCTCCCAATCCCTGCCCCGCCTCTTCCCCACCTCCTCCCCTGAGCGCGCCACGTTCCCGCTCCTCCCCATCCCTTCCAGCACACCTCCAAACAGCTGTTTGGCAGAGGCCGGGGGAAGCGCTGGGAGGTAGGCGGAGGAGCGGGGATGAGGCGCACTTGGGGCGGGGAGTAAGGGGAGCTTGGCTGCCAGTGGGTGCTGAGCACCCACTAATTTTTCCCCATGGGTGCCCCAGCCCCAGAGCACCCACAGAGTCGGCACCTCTGATACTGCTAGAATTCCAGCTGGGATTTCCATCCAGAGAACTGAACCCTCCAACATACCTCCCCTGCACAATGCTGAATTGTTCTCTAAATTTTCTTCTAAGGAGCTGATGGAGTTCTCATGGTTTTGAACTCTGCATGCTAACTCCCTCCTTCCCACCCAAAATCAGTGTTGGAGAGTAGCCTTTCCCAAAACTTAACTGCCTTGAACAATAGGAAAATGGAAATTGGAACCCAGATCCAAATTTCACAAGTGGCTCCTTTCATTATGATGGACTGAACCACCAGGGACTTAATGGACTTTGAACTCTTACTTGCATCTGAATTATGTGGCGTCAGCCCATCTCTACTTTTAAAAGTTTCTTAGCCTTTTTAGTATGTTGATTTAATCAGATGCAACAACAGACTGTTCACATCAACCACGGAGAACTGGAAAGCTCTTTTAGTCTTACAATACATGTTCAAAATTTTCTTCCGGGTAACCTTTCTCTCCCAAACATTGAAATCTTCTGAGTCTCAGTCAAGGAAATTTTTGTAATTACTTCCTGATGTGTGAGAAAATCCATGCGCTTTGTCTCCTTCACCATTCAGTGACCTAATTACTACTTGTCTGAGCAATGTTTAGAAATACATACTTAAACATAATATACTGAAAGTCTGAGTTAGCAGCTGAAAGAAATGTCTGAGACAAACCACTTCTTGTGTACTCTAAGCAGACTGTGTTCATACATCACATTAGTTAAATCCTTTTAACACAGTTTGCCATAATTCTCAACCCTTCCATGCCCCCAACTGTTCCTCATGTTTCCCTTGGGCAGCGTTGTATACAAATTCTCCACAAACACTCCATGTCACAATTATTTGATTAACTGTTATCTTTGAGGGGTTCGAGGAGTGTGTTGAAGAAGAGACCACAATTTTATTTGAAGTAGATGCATTACCTACCCATAGTTAAGATTAGACCTCGTGTCATAGAGTTCATTTTATTTCTACAATACATTTGTGATTAAACTCTTATTTTTCTGTCTTGTTTACCACACGTGCGATTCTGTAACATAACCAGCTTTAAAATCCACCATTGATGGCTCAAAACTATGAAACCTCAAAACTATAGCTCCTATAAAACTTTGCATGCATTCAGACAAAAAACATCTCTGTGCATAAACAGATTATCATTTGAAGCATGTACATTATAGCTAGGAGAAATATCCCCAGAGGAAAAGTCATTGAACTGACAAGAAACAACTGCTGTGTCAAAATGTATTTCACTAAATCAAATTCATTCATTTATAATGCATGTTTTTAATTACTATCTACCTTGGCCACCTATTTTTATAATATACAGAATGTTTAGCATAAATTATTAATATTTTAAGTTTTGATATAATATTTTAACCATAGTTTTTCTGTTTAACTATACAAATAATATACCTTTGGCTTTTTCCAATATTACAAATATAGTTTTATAGGATTATATTTATAACATAAATTATATATCAAAGTGCAAAAGGCCAAATGCACAAGTGAGTCTAAATTCATGTAAAGGAATCTAAAATGATGGAATATACACAGTCTTCCTACCTCTTAACTAGACTAGATCCTTTACTACTGTGTAACTTATACCCTTTTTACTCATTGCCTCGAAATTTGGTCCTCTGAGTTAAGGTTAAAATGGTGAGATTGCAGAGCCATTAGCCATTATTTTTGAAAACTCATGGCGATCGGGGGAGGTCCCAGATGACTGGAAAAAGGCTAATGTAGTGCCCATCTTTAAAAAAGGGAAGAAGGAGGATCCGGGGAACTACAGGCCAGTCAGCCTCACCTCAGTCCCT